AGCACTTTCCCCATGCACTTCTAGTGCAGATAGTAGAGAAAATATATGTAAACAGGAGAAGCTACATGGAAAAATCATAAAAACTTGAATAATGGAAATGAACCACTTTGCGTATGTTATCTTTCTTACCATCCAGACTTCATCAGGATGCAAAAAGATTCAGGCTGAGTCAGGCTCTTTTTTTTTATTTTTAGAGAGAAGAGATTTTCTCCTGGCATCTCAAACTAACAACTATGCTTGTTCAGTCTTTTTCTAACTGTACTGTTATGAACTTTTACATTTAACATGCTAACTGAGGCCTGTAGAGTCTGAGAAGCAGCTCTTAGGTTTTTTGCAATTTCTCTGAGGATTGCAGGGTCTGACCTTCGGGTGAATTTGCTGGGATGTTTACTCCTGGGATGAATATTGTGTTAACACACACCTGAATGGTTCAGGTCAGCAAACTGCCAAAATGTCTGCTTTTATAGAGGTGCTCATACTTCCTGCTGATAAATGAATCAAGTACGTTTGATTAAGACCACCTGTTTGCTACTTCCTCTTCCTCTGGAAGCAGTACCGGTGTACTTAGTGCCCCGTGTCCTTTGAAGACTTATTTTTTTAATGACTGTATGCATGTTCACATACTATTGTGATATTCTTATCTTACATTGTACAGATGAATATTTTTCAACAAATGTACAATAACAAATACACTTTTTAACACTAGACAGTGTATCCTCCATCAAGGCCAGTTTGGGTCCAATGTTGGAGAAATTGGGTTTTCATAAAGATATATGAAGACCATATATATATATATATATATATATATATATACCTTGAATCAAAGAATTTCTATATGCAGAAATTAGGTAGTTTACCATTTTGTTTGACCTTCAACTATTGTCACATCAGGCCACTAGGTATAGGCATGAATGCATTAAATTAAAAAAAAAACTACGCTGCTAATATTACTTGTTGAAAATACTTTTAGTAATAACTAGAAATAAGATCATTTCAAACTAGATGTTGCATGGTGATGTGTATTTTCATATTAGATAGCAGGCAGTGATCTGCGATCTTCCACATTGGCCAGTTGTGACTCCTCCTCACAGTTTAAATGCCAAAAGTTAGCATTTTAGCTAATTGTCTGGTAAAAGGTCAATAGGCATTTGTAAATTAGACACATGGTGGGCGTTCATTAGATGTGCTGAGAGCTGCTAGTGCTTATTAGAGTAGCACTGGACCCAGCCAATGTCATCCTCCTCAAGGGACAGTCTGAGAAGTTAATTTATGGTGTATTGTAAAAAGAGGACAATGCTGTCAAAGCTGTTATTTTTTGGGCCACTCAATGTAAAGGCCAGTCTAGGGACACAGTAAATCTTGCAGAGAATTGAACTGTGTTTGTCTAAAGAGGAAAAAAGTGCTTTTGGAGCCACCATGACACTTACAGTCCTCCCTTACAGTGGAGAAACAAGAAAAACATGCTGCTGAGATGACAATTTATATTTCGTGTGTTCTGATTATGTATGTCACTTCCACTTATCTAAATGTCATCGGTATCGGTTTAGCTGAAGGAACAGCAGAACAATGAAAGCAATTATCCCACTGAACCCATGGGGCTCCTGGATTTTATATGCATTGTCGTTTTTTTTCTGCTGAATATGTTGTTTGCTTGATGTGGGTGGTGGGATTAGGAGAATCCAGGATCATTTACACATTCATTACCCCTTCATTTATTAAGAGTTGGTCGAGACAGGCTAAATCACGGCTACTCACTCAGCTCATCTCTTGAAAACCAGTGTTCTCCCCACCGTGTGGTACTTGAAACTAGTTATAATTCATCACTTCCCACCTGCAGTTGAGACCAAAGCCAGTTCTAAGTGCCTACTCTCCTTCAAAAATACTCTTTTGGTCATGATAATGATTTTGGTAATTTACACCAAGACCTTTCTTCTTTTTTTTGATGAGCCCTCCACCAAAGAGAGATGTCCATAAAGACTTTCCTTTATATTAATATAACCTAAACTGTTTGAGTTTTAAAGCAACACACTGGCATGGTTTTTGTTTTGTTTTTAATCTGACCATCATGTGACAAACATTTAAATGACATAATACAATCCTCGCACTAGCAGCAATGTGAAATAACCTAACTAGCTGAACAATAAGTAATATACCCTAGCAGCCATATATTAGTCACAAAAATATGTTCAGCCATTTATTTGCTCAACTATTAATCCGCTACAGAGCAACACTCCTGGTATTGTCTATTTCTAGCTATACATCTTTTGCTTATTGACTTATTTTATAATTTAAATTTTTTTTTTTTTTTTAATTTAGAATCATACATAAATTGTATTACAATTATGGATTGATTGTTTTAATCCCTACACTTTATTTCCACTGTAAAATTACTTTATAAATCCATAATTTTGCCCACATTAACTGTGCTATCCCTGCGTGTACAACAAGTTAAACATACAGTCACTGTGCATACATCAAGCAAAGGCCACTGTGCAATGACATCAGAAGACCAGTTGCTGGACTTTTTAAAGAGAAATGCCGTCCCATTTATGTTTGATAATTCTAGAGGCGCTCTTCTTAGTCATATTTATTTATTTATTTTATGATGTATCGAATGTTTTGAGTCGATAAAAGTTCTTGACTGCGGGCAGACCAGTTCAGCACCTGGACAAAGCCACAGTGGTGTAACAGCTGCACCATGCATTTAGCATTGTCTTGCTGAACTATGCAAGACCTTCCCTACATTGTCTGGACGGAAGGAAGTGCTACTTTAAAACCTGCATACTCCTTTCAGCACTGATGTTGCCTTTCCAAATGTGCAACGCAATAGTACCATAAGCACTCACACACCTCCGTACCTTCAGAGATGCAGGCTTATGAAGTGAGTGCTGATAATCTGGAGTACAAGGCATCCATGTTTTCCAAAAAGACTTTTACATTTAACATGTAGAAGACAATGGTGTTACTGGACATACGGCATCTTCTTTGCATGAGAGAGCTTTCACCAGCATTTATGGATGGCACAGCGAACTCTGCTCACAGAGATTGATTCCCGATAGTGTTTTCTGAGCCCATGCAGTGATTTCCATGACAAAATCATACATGTTTTAAATGCCATGCTGCTTGAGAGCCTGCAGACCACAGACACCCAACACTAATTTTCCACTTCATCTCTCAGAAAGGCAAAACTCTCTTGCTGAATATGAATATATATATATATATATATA